TGTTGCTCATCTTCAGTATGTGCTCTCTGATACCGCCACTAGTATATTTTTTATTGAATAATTTTTTGATCAAGGTACTAGTATAAGACTTTGAAGAGCCAGTGAACTGACTCTCCACCTTCTTAAGATACTCCGTGGTGGTATCATAATCTGGGATAGACCCCCTTATAGCATCTAAAATTGTGGACTTAGCCACCATCAAGCAGTTGCGGTTGAAAATGTCCCATTTCTTGCGTTCGAGATCATACTTCATCCGCACTTCTGCATGATCTCACTGCCGAGCAGTGAAATCAGCATCAGACTCAATTTTCTTCCCTCACAGGGTCCACTGGCTCAGTGGGACACGAGGAGGTAAGCGCTAGGTAATTTTCAGACAGCGCAAGTGCTAGTTCGTACTTCTCTTGCCATACCCTGTAGTTGCCTCCTTCAAGAGACGGTATGTGCAAGATAAAAGCCATTGGGTTGAGTCCTAAAAAACATCGTCAGAGATAGTGAGAAAATATGACATCATAATTGTATGATTTAATTTAACGTTAGTCAAAATTAAAACATACAACATTCTTATACACTAATTCTACATCACCGTTGGACAGAAATAGAATTAATGCATGGAAAACTTATGAATAAATATTATAATATTGCTATTATCAATGTTAGTCAGAAAAATAGCAATATTATAATTTATTGACTAAAAATGACTACTCTTCAAATTAAATTCTCCCATTGGTTCGAATTTAATTAGAAGATGATAAACTTTAACATTGCAACGGAAACATAAAAAAATTCATTATCTATTTTTCAGAAGCATTTAACTTTTCTCAACTATTCTCTAAAAATTATCTCGTTGGTTCAAATTTTGACAGAGATTTTAAACTAGACAAATATCATCAAAAATTGCTTCTGAAAAAAGAATAAAACTTAAACTCGTAGAACACTGTTCATTTGGCCGAAGCATCAAAACGGCCCAGCTTGCTCTGCTTTCGCGCATGTTGTGCCTTCCTAGGCCGCAACCTGGGCCTGGGCCGACAAAGCCGCCCGCCGCGCGCACTCGCCTAGGGCCCAATGCTGGCCCGTTCACTCACGGCCGTTCATCACATATCGACGGTCGAGCGCACTCCTCGGCGGATCAAAACCGGCGCGCGGCGTCCATCCCTGAACCCTAGACTCATTTGACTCCCTCCCTTTCCTCTCTCAGCGCAGCAGCGGTCGAGTGAAAGAGCGAGAGCGAAGAGAGGTGATGGCGCCGGCGCGCGCGCTCCCCAGCGGGTGAGCGCACCGCCGCAAGTCCCCTCGCCATGAGCGCGCGCACCCCAGTGGGTGAGCACGCCGTCGTCGAGAGGTCTTGTGACAGTGCCCTCGCCCGGGCTCGCGCGCAAGGTGGTTAGCGTGGCTTGGCTTCTCCCCGCGCGCTGACGAGGCGGCGGCCGGAGCTCCTTCCTGCGCGACGGCAGGAGACAACCCACGCGACGGCAGTGGTAACGCATGGCGGAAGAGTCCAGGTAGGTCCTCCTCTCTTTCGTCCAATCCGTTTCTAGGGTTAGGGTTAGGGTTAGGGTTAGGGTTAGGGTTGACTACTGTTCTTCTTCCCCGAGGTGTCTACACGGGTTAGGGTTAGGGTTTGAGATCTTTTTCAAAACCGAGACCATTTCTTACTTCTTTTCTTCACTCAATTTGCGTTTAGGGTTCGATGAACCCTCTATTTAGATCCGAAAACGGATCTATCACCTCCTTCTAAGTGCAGCTACTCGGTTTTCTTCTCCGATAGGCTAGGTCTACGCCTAGTTAGGCGACTGATACCATTGATAGAAATAAATAGGATCACTAGCCATAAATCTAACATGTGTACTTGCATTTGGAATAAACAGCGAGTCCTAGAGCATCTACCAGTATGGGATTAATAGATAGAGTGAGAGAGAGAGAGAGGGGTGGAGGAGGTGCAAACCATCGGCCGCCTTCGAGGAAGACGGGCTGGCCATCACGGTGCTCGGTGAAGACTCGATGGAGGCGCTGCAGTGAAGGGCGGCGGTGCAGTGGCGGTGCTGCCCATCGCTAGCAACGCCCCCTCACTTAGACCGGTTTAGGGTTTCGGGGATGTAGGTGGGGTGTCTGGCGGCTCAGGTGAACTTCGTGACTTGTGTTCTGGCCCCCACCTTCTTTTTATGGAGCTATGCGACAGGGGCCTACCAACCATGGAACGGTTGGGCGCCCCCGATCAGGACGCAGATCCAAGGGGCCAATTGGCCGTTGTATCACCTAACATGGTGTAGTCCACGGAACAAGAATTAGCACGTTGTATTGGAGAGATGTCGATAGGAAAATAAAGATGAATGAAGTGTGCCGGTGGAAAGCTCGATGGATCGCCATCAGAGGAGTGCTCGCTGCTAGGCCGGGAGGAAGAAAAGTTCAGTCGCATCTCAGGATCGAAGGGGACGCATGCGTGCCTCTGCCTACTAGGAGTAGATCACACTAGACCATATATATCACATCTAGCACACAGCTATGTGATGGGCTAGCTGCTGACTCGAATATAACTTTCTCTGTTTCTCACCACAATTATAGAAACAACAGATGTTCTCTAGTGTCACCCATGCCGACAGTGTAGCAGTCTGTGCCGCCGCTGAAGCTGTAGATGAATGTAAAATAGGGGCTTTCGGCTGCTTTAAGTGGACAATGCATGGATCAACCTCGTCACTCAACTGTTCAACCTTCACTTTGCTGTTCCGTGAGGGTCTACGAATACGACGTCATCGTCCTTGCCGGTGCAAATTTGAAGCAAAAAATGGACGTCCTATCTTATCTAGACTCCAGTCCTTTAAAGCAGGCGGACTTTACATATAAAGAGAGAGATTCCATGGTGCATTCGTCGACCACGTATCAAGGTTTTGTATAATGAAAATTCCAATAAAGATATGTGCGCCCGGCCCATCCATGGCATGAGAATGCGACAGCCTTTTCTGCACCCATAATGTTATGTGTTAGTGTTATGTTATGTTATGTTACTAGCAGCTAGGATAGGAGCTACTTTGTTCATCCTATCAAAGGATATATGCCCCCAACTCTAGAGATGGGCATGGCCGTCTTTTTGACACGTAGGAGCGCCCCCTCCCGGCCGGGAATAACTTCTTTTGCTGACAGCGAAACAATGCTCCGGTTTTAATTTTATATTGTATATCAAAAGGGCATTGCACAAAGTTCCTAGTTCTCACTGTATGCACATATAGCAATAGTAGTAACAGTTGCACTGACCGAGTACTTGATTAACAGTGAAGATCAGTCTAGAGAGTGCAAGGGGTTATCAGTGACAGCAGTGCTAGCTCCCGGACATCCGTTTCCCAGTAGTTGCAGCAGGCGGCTGTGGTGGGTCTGATCTATTTTTTAAACATCCAGATAAAACATTTACAACATGCATCCGAAGACAGATGAAACACTTAAAACATGCGTCTGAAACACTTGAAAAAACACACATAAAACACTTAAAAAGCCATTGCCAAATATATGCAACATCCATGATAAAACACTTACAAGAAATGTGTGAAACATATGTAACATCCAAATAAACGCACTTGCAACGTACGTCTGAAAAACAGATAAAACATTTACAACAAACGCTTGCAACATACATATACAACCATTGCAACATGTGCAACATCGTGATCTACTTTTGAAACATCTATATGAAACACTTGCAACATACCTCTGAAACATCGAAACACTTGAAATATACGCCTGCAACATGCGCTTTCAGTGCAACATCTCCTTGCCGCTTGGGAGAATGGAGGCTCGTCAGCACGTGGAGTTCACCGGTGGCGCAGAGCTTGCCGTTCCGGTGGAGAAGACCACGATAGATCCGGTAGAGAAGGCCGTGGCAGGCCGCTCCGGTGGAGAAAGTAGGCGGAAGGCACGGTGGAGAGGAAGGCGGGCAGGAGCGCGTGATGGAGAGAGGGAGGCGTAGTGGAGAGAAGGCGGGCGGGAGGCGCGGTGGAGCGCAGTCGTAGGCTCGAGGTTGCGGTGAAACAACCACTCCAATAATGATTGTATAAAAAAAAGAACAATAACCTTTTTCAATCTGCAAGTGTCACACTACTACATTTTGCAACCCTTAACTCTAAAATCATTCACTTTATTTATAGGCTTCAACCATCACAATCATTCATTTTTCAACCTTTTGTTGGTCTCCTGAGTGGCCCAAGTATGGTATTTGATATATGCTGACACGTTATTATCTGAAAACATATACAGAAAGAGTTTGTTTCGAGAAAAACATATACACAAGAGAAGGCACCATGACAACACTTACAGCAAAAAAAAAAAAAAACTCAGATAATAGTTACTTCAGCGTGTATGGGAGGAAAAAAAAAAGGGTTGATGCATATGCATGCATATAAGCCAGTAAACTGGATATACCCCAACAGAAGAAAACCATCTAAATATACCCTATGCGGTTATACCAAGATCTCCACTTCTTCAGTATCTATTTCAACAAAGCGCTGCAAAAGTAATGCAGTTTCTACACTAGGTGTTCAACAACGTGTTGCGAAAGTAATGCAATATGAGATAGTCGTTCATTGTTACAATACATCTTTATTCTTCAGCAGCTGCAATCGTGGATTCTTCACCAAATGCTACTCTACTATACAATTACCCGCCTCTTGTTCCCAAAGTTAGATACTGACCAGGTTTGGATGTGCTGCCTCTGAATGCCTGCAAGCAAAACTACATCAGAGTCAAACAAATGGAGGAATAAAAACAATCGCATTCATTGGTTTGCGAGTTGTCAAAAACATATTACAAAAGCTCATTTATGTTACTTTGTAGAAAAACCCCATTGCATTGTAAAGTTTCAATGCGACAGATAGCTCTTGTCAACAAAACTACAAGTAATAACAAAGAGAAATTTATTACTCTCCATTATATTTTAGAAAGAAGTCGATCATGCCACATGATTCTAAATTCGTATATTCATGTTTCAAATGCTTACCTCACTGTAAAACGAGTGATAGCTACTTCTGACTTGCAGCCTCGTCTTTAGTCTTTGCCTGAAGTTGTAAGATGAATAGGTAAGTAGACAAAGAACATACTAGTTGAGCAGAGTTAAACAATGTATTTCTACAATGTAATATGGAATTAACATACCTCAGCAGTAGTATCTCTTCGGACCTTCCTAGTTGGGTTTCTCATTGTGACAAATTCCTCAGCAGTTGTTGGGTGAACACCAATAGTGGAATCAAAATTTTGCTTCGTCAACCCAGCCTTAACAGCAATTACAATACCATGTATATTAATGTACATCCATAATGAATTAACTAAAGAATGGATATGAAGATATAAATCACTAGAAAATCAACACCACGCACAAACCTGAATAATCTCAGGTGCATCTTCACCACACATGTTGTCACACCCAGTTTTAAGAACAAAACTAGGTACATCCCATATGTATGTCCAGGATTTCAATTCACACATATAGTTACAAATGAAGGGGTAATATCAAAGACAATGCCTTTATTACATAGCGCATAAATAATTGTTACCAATGACATAGTCTTACTTTACAGTATATACTTTAACTCTACTCTTCTGGCGAAGCCTCCAACACCACAGGAATCGTCAACTGGTTGATCACAAGCCTAACACCTCTTGAAAAACTCCACTGAAGAACCTCTATCTGATACCCATCCGGGATTTTGCCAAAGTATTGAAATAAAGCAAGCATAAGCTACTACCGCTTAGCAACCATAACATGAGGGGATGCAGGCTCAAAAGGCTTGACACGGCTGAACTGTGGTAAGCACTTTTAGTTGGTCATATTTTATTATTAATCATAAGTTGCTAAGTTATGCTTAGGCTCCCAAATATGAATAGTTAGAGATATCGTCAATTTTAATCATAACCCAAACCACCCGAGTAAAGTAAGGATCCAAGCCGCTCGTGTCCGTGAGCACGGCTGATATACTAGTTTTACACTCTACAGAGGTTATACACTATCACCATGAGTCGTGTTACCCATATGCCCGAGTTAATTACTCCCAAAACACTTCCAAGCTGAGCAGGCAGGGTACACTACGAAGTTTTTCCCCAGTCGTTCTAATAAGGAGCAGCCGCTAAGGATTCCATCTCCTAAGTGTTATGGAGTCATCTCCAAAAATGGCACTAATACTCGCAGCATAGTACACACCCTGGGGATGAGGCCCATACCCAGCCTAGATGCCCCTCTTGCCCTTTTGGTAAACTGCTACAAACTAGAAAGAGCAAGGTACTGGACTAAGACTAGAGCCATGTGGTCCTCACTGTTGTACTGTAAGTCCTAGGTTGTCACTTAAAGATGAGTCCTTATGGAGAGAAACTAGAGCACCCTAAGAAAACGCCCAATGCTCTAGCCGCATTGATTCCATGTTGCTAAAAACCATCTTTTAATACCATGTTGCATATATCTTTAATTGTATTTTTTAATCAATATTAGTTGGAGCAAATTGAGCGTACTACCCACATGCAAAACCCATAGGTAAATCAAGGACAGGATAATCAATATCAAGGTAAATAGACTCCAAGCGGTTCATTAACTTATGCATATGAATTGAGATTGCATTAAAGTGAATAGGTAATAAGGAGCCTCATATTGTACTTGCCTTGAACAAAGTGCTCCTACTAATCCTGCTCATCAAAGTAGTACTCTTGATCACCCACGAATTGCTCACCGTCTATACTCAACAATCACAGAAACACACAAGCATCCAGAAGCAATCATGCATAGCAAACAAAAGCTATTGATTAGAACAATACACCAATAAGCATAAAATCAAGATGAAAAGTTTGTAAAACGAATCTACGTCTCGCTATGAACACACAGACGCGAAGATCACAAAAGTCGGAGCTAAAACGAAGAAGTTATGAATTAAACTTGATTTCCCTTAGTAAAATAATAGATTAAATCTAACCTAGAATTTTAAAAGTTGAAAACATACTTAACAGTAGTATGAACATGTAGATTATGGAATTACAAACCTAACGCAAGTTGAACGGATCAAATCGGAGTTAAAACGAAGATTTTATGACCTTCAGAAGGTAGTGGCAATTTTGTAAATAGATGAAACTTGATTTTCAAATTTAAAATAATTAAAATCTGATTTTAAACCAAAACAGGGACTACGGGCAGGAAAACGAAGAAATACAGGGGCTCTTTAGAATAAATGCAGGGACGACGGGTTGGGATCCAAATAATTATAAGGGTCTTTTTGCAAAACGACAGGCGAAGGGGTATCTTAAGATCTGGACCGTTGGATCGGAATCGGACGGCGCGGATCAGATCAGAGGGGGATGAAAGACGCCGGCGTGGTCGGCGGCGAGCCCCAACGGCGGCGCTCATGAAATATGGTCTACGGACCATGAAAGAGCAAACCAAGGGCACTGGGAGAGAGAGAGGAGATGACGGCGAGCTCGGCCAGGTAGCTTACCTCGGCGTGAAGTGAACGAGAGCAGCGTGGTGCTCAGTGAGGCAGGCAGAGATGGTGGCGGTGATAGGGTTAGCGTGGCTCGGCGCAATGCGAGGGCAGCTGCGGCTCCGAAGCTTGGGACGGGAGCGGCACGATGCGGGCATCCGGTTTTTATAGCCAGGAGGGGCTTGGGGCGCAAGGCAAGGAGGGGGGCGTGAGTGGCGCGGACTCCCGACGGCGCGGCGGAGTCTGGGGCAGACATGCGTGAGGAAGAAGGCCCTAACAGGGCGGTCTCGGTTGTCAGCGAGAGAGAAGGGGAAGGAGGGGTGCGGCGCGCTGCAGGGCCTCTCACTAGGCCGCTGCGGAGAAGCGGAGGAACTGGGCCTACGGGGCGGGCCAAAGCGAAAGAGAGAGCAGACCGCGCGGGAGCTGGGACAACATGCCGAATAGAGGGGAGGAAAAAAATCCTTTCTTTTTTTCTTTTCTAATTTTACAAACCAATTTTAAAATACAAATTCAAATCAATTTGAAGTTTGATTTCAAACCACATAATTCAAAAATAATATGCAGCAGCGTGAATACATAGACATATATGTAGACCTATATTTGATTTTAATTTCAACAAAGTTATTATTTTTCTAAATTTTAATGCTCACAAAATGCATAATTAAATCATCTTCTCCTATTTTAAAACCATGCAAATTTTAGGGTGTTACAATTCTACCCCCTTAAAATGAATCTCGTCCTCGAGATTCGAACGATGCTTACTCAAAAAACTACGAGTACGTTTTTCTCAAATCCTCTTCTCTTTCTCAAGTAGCCTCATCTTCTGTGTACCGATTCCACTGAACCTTACACATCTTTATAACCCGGCTCCTTGTAACCCTTTCTGCCGTCTCCAAAATCTTTACTTGAAATTCCTCATATGTAAGATCTTCCTTAACTATAAGCTGTTCCAACGGTATCTACTCCTCTGATATACGCAAACATTTCTTTAATTGAGACATATGGAACACATCGCGTACACCTGACAAACTCTCAGGCAATTCCAACTGATAAGCTACTTCTCCACGTCTCTCTAAAATCTTGAAAGGCCCAATATACCTTGGTGCTAACTTTCCTTTCATGTTAAACCTTCTCATACTCCTCATAGGTGATACTTTTAGATAAACATAATCCCCTATTTCAAAAACCAATTCTCTTCTCCGAGTGTCAACATAACTCTTCTGTCGAGATTGTGCCACTCTCAAGTTATCCCTAATCATCCTTACTTGCTCTTCTGCGTCTCTTAAAACATCTGGTCTGAACACTTGAGTTTCGCCCGTTTGATTCCAAAACAACGGGGTTCTACACTTTCTACCATATAATGCCTCGAATGGTGCCATCTTGAGACTCTTCTGGTAACTATTGTTGTAGGAGAACTCAGCGTAACACAAACTCTTATCCCAACTCATGTCATACTGCAAAGCACAAGCTCTCAACATATCCTATAAGATCTGATTAGTTCTCTCTGTTTGTCCATCAGTTTGTGGATGATAAGCCGAGCTGAAGTTTAATTTGGTGTCCATAGACTCATGCAATTTCTTTCAAAAGTGTGATGTAAACTATGTACCTCTATCTGACACAATCTTCTTAGGAACTCCATGCAAACATACTATTCGTTGCATGTATAGTTCTGCCAACTTTGCACCTATATACGTAGTCTTGACCGGTATGAAATGAGCAACCTTAGTCAACCGATCTACTATTACCCAAATTGAGTCATAACCACTTTGAGTGCGTGGTAATCCAACAATGAAATCCATACCAACTTCTTCACACTTCCACTCAGGTATCTTCATAGGTTAGAGTAAACCTGCTGGCCTTTGATGTTTTGCCTTGACTCGTTGACATGTGTCACATATTGCTACATACTCAGCCATATCTCTTTTCAAACCATACCACCAGTACTTCTCCTTCAGATCTAGGTACATCTTAGTACTACCTAGATGGATAGAGTATGCTGAGTCATGAGCTTCTCTTAGAATCATCTCTCTAATGGACTTTGTCCCTGCACACATATTCTCTTTCTGAACCATACTGTTCCCTGATCATCCAATCAAAAACCTGGTGCTTTGCCAATTGTGACAAGTTCTGCTATCTCCTTGATTTTCTCATCTTCCAACTGACCCTTGCGAATCTCTTGTTCAAGTGTAGGTTCCACTTCCAATTCCATCGCATTAGCAACTATTCCCAAATTAAGATGCTCAAATTCAGCATATAACTCCTTAGGTAACTCTGTCACTAGAGCTGTATTAACATAGCTCCTTTGGCTTAGAGCATCAGGTACAACATTTGTCTTGCTAGGGTGATAGTGTACCTCTAGATCATAGTCCTTGATTAGCTCTAACCAATGTCGTTGCCTCAGGTTTAGCTTTAACTGAGTGAAGATATACTTCAAACTCTTGTGGTCTGTATAGATGTCACACTTATGCCCAACAAGATAATGTCTCAAAATCTTCAATGCATGAACCACAGCTGTTAACTCAAAATCATGGGTGGGATAATTTAGTTCATGCTTCCTTAGTTGCCTAGATGCATAAGCCACTACTCGTCCTTCTTGCATAAGAACACAACCCAAACCAAGTCAAGATGCATCACAGTAGATGGAAAAACTCTTGTTTAGATCTGGTAGTACCAGCATCGGAGCTGTAGTCAGCCTTTTCTTCAACTCTTCAAAACTAGCTTGGCATTGCTCAGTCTATACAAACTTAACATTCTTCTCAAGTAGCGATGTCATAAGCTTGGCAATCTTAGAAAAAACTTCAATGAACCTCTGATAATATCCGGCCATTCCTAGGAAACTCCGGACTTCACTTACATCCTAAGGCGGA